GGGATTCCCTCTTTTCCAGGGCTAAATGTCCCTTTCTACTGATCACCTGTGTCTCAGGTGAGATGAGCTGCAGCAGCAGGGGGGACCGAAAGCATCTTCTGCATCCTCGAGTCGCTGGTGCTTCTTCCTCTCCAGCCCTACCCRTATTGACCGAGCTCACCCGGGGCTCCTGCTTCGCGTGTTACGTGTGGGACCAACCTCCCAACACGGGTGTCCTCCCCAAGGTGCAGAGGAGGGTCAGGAGGGCCACGGAGGAGTCCCCGTGGTGGTGGCACGTGGGGAGAGGTGGCCTGTGCTCGCCGTGGAGGGCGTTCGCCTGCCCGGCGCGGTGCCTGGGCTGCAGGGTGGGCTTCRTGTTCGCCCTTCTGCTCCCCGCTGCCTGCTCTGCATCCCAGCCTGGAAAGGAAAGGGCCGTTGCAGGAGCTGCTTCCCCTGCGGGTGCACCCGGGGCGGGTGCCGTCTGGGACCGTTTCTTGCCCCTGCTCCGGCCGTCCTCGCTTCGCTGCCGTGTTCCTGCTGCCTTGGAACGGCGTCCGGGCGCTCCAGGCGCCAGCGGCCTAATATCCTCCCTGGGAGGGGGCTAATGCTTCCCTCCGGCCGTGGAAATCTCCCCTGAATGGCGCTCTGTTCCCTAATTGGGGAGTTTCCCTGGAGCTGGAGCCGGTCCTCGTGGCCGTGTCCTTGGCTGCCCTTCCACGGGCGCCCCTAGGCCCGGGCAGCTGCTCCGGGCGGGTTTGCGGCCCTGCAAGCAGCAGGGTTGAAGCTGCCCAAGCCATTTCCATGGTGCCYGATGGGCCAGATCCCTCTGATCTACCTGGGGCTCCTTGCCCCTGTGCAAAGCATCCAGCATTTTGCATTTTCCTCATTGCTCCATCTAGAAGCTCAGTGGGTTTTGGGTTTGTTGTTTTAAACTAGGACACAACGTACCTCTGTTTTGGAAGCCTGAAGAGCAGAAAGCTGAGACAGGTCTGGAAAAGTGGAAGGGAGATGAGCAGAAAAGGATCGCGGCCAGAAATGGGTTTGGATTTTGGTCTGCTTGGAGATTTGTTTGGTACCGTTCTGCAAACTTAACTTTTAATTAGTGGCTGGTAGTAGTGACTGGAGAGAGGGGCAAAGGGCTCGCAGGGGGTTTGCAGCACCTCCTGCTGCGTTAATGCACTAGGAGATCCCTCCTCCTCCTCCTCCCCACGTCCTCCTCTGCTGCTCCTCTGGAGTCAACGGGATGACTCARGCCCCGGACTTGCAGCTGTAACTTTCTGTTCTTGGTTTCGTAATTCCCTTTGGGTCACGGATCAGGAAAACCGGGGACACAGCCCTTCTCTGAGGAACATCCATTAGGGAAACGTTGCAGGGAAGCAGCACAAGCGGTGGGTAGTGAGGACAAGCCCGAGCCACGGTCGGTACAAACGGAGCTGCCCATTCCTGCCTTGGGATGGGGGCTTGAAGATCTTGTGGAWGGGCGTTTGGGGAGGAGGAGACACAGGGAGCTGCTCGTCTGCCTTCCCAGGGATGAGACRTCAGGCTGCCCCAGGTGGGCTCCCGCTGGGTGGGAAAAATCAGCTTTGCATCCTCCTTAGTTGGGATACACTCATTTTAATGCGGACTTCAATACAGATCTTCCTTTGCTCATGGAAAATCAAAGCAGGCTGGTCCCCACATGGATCTGTTCCAGGTAATTTTGTAATCACCAACTAATTTTATCACCAAGACTTTTCCTTATTTAGCGTTTTGGTTCAAACTTCATTCCTTCTTTCCTGAAGTTGAATATCCCCTCCACATCTGTGTAGCCATAATTATGATTTGAGTGAAAACTGTCTTTTTAAGGTATATGAGGTGATTTTGGGGGGAAAAAAAATCCTTTTTTTTTGGACATGGAATTTGATCTGAAATCTTTCAAGCTGTTTCGGAAAAGGCAATATTTTGATTTGAATTGGAGCTACTGTGTCAGTCATTTGTTACTGATGGAAAGCTAGAGTGTTTCTGTGAGATTTTAAACTTCCCTGTAGGAAAATGTCAAAATTTCTGTCAGAGGAGCCGCATAAGCTGACAATCTGCTGGGGCACTATGCAAATGCACCCTCTTAGCACCACGGAGCTGGTTACATAGTTCCTCACCAGCTAGTCATTCCYGTGTTTCAACTTATGTCCATTGCCCCTTGTGCTGTCACTGGCCACCACTGAGAAGGGTTGGCCCCATCCTCCCTGAGGGAGGAATGTAGGGAGGAAGGGACAAGGGGCAATGGGTGCAAGTTGAAACMCAGGCAGTTCCATCTCCATGTGAAGAAGAACTTCTTCWCTGTGAGGGTGCCAGAGCCCTGGAACAGGCTGCCCAGGGAGGTTGTGGAGGCTCCTGCTCTGGAGGTCTTCAAAACCCACCTGGATGCCGCCCTGTTCCCCATGTTCTGGGTGTCCCTGCTGGAGCAGGGGGTTGGACTGGATGATCCCTAGAGGTCCCTTCCAACCTCAAGCCTTCTGGGAGACACTTTGCTTCAACGTGGGAATAGACACCTGGTCCATCTTGGAAGCAGTGGCAGATTTTCTTGTATTTCTTCATATCCAGGCCCACAATTGTGTGGCTCCCTTAGGTGTTAATGAGATATTGCCTCATGGAATGAGGTAGCCTGACATCCATACCTCATATTACCTCATAGATTGCTATCACATTTCACCTTTTTGGGTAAGATTGTGCGTAGATGATGCGGTGTTCTCTTGAAGCTGTGGAGTCTCCCTCCATGCAAGGCCACCTTGAGGGTCCTTGCATCGTTCTCAGCGTATTGGGAGTGCAGCAACACGTCCCGCTACTTGCTTGGTTCCCTCGCTGCGTGATTAGCTCTTCCCATCTTCTCTTGTCCCTCGGAGCCGAGGATTTTAGCTTCACGTTCCTCAAAATAGCAGGACATGTCACACCACCCTTACTTCTACGTCCTCGCCTTGATCCTTTGGATCTTCAGGACAGAATCGCTCCAGGGGCCCTGCTGTGGGAATTTTGCTGGCCAGTTTTTCGTTTCTCCCAAAAGCAGAAATTCAGAGAGATCATCTAAAAAACTTGGTTAGAGAGAACCATAGCCGCGTTTATCTTCCAGAAGCTCCTGCAAAACTCAAGTTGAACTGTTATCAAGCTTTTTAAGGAATGTTATGGGTTGTTTTTAAGTGCTCATTTGTTTAAGTGCTCAAGTTTGTCGTTAGTATTTCCCCTGGGGAAGGAAGGCAGCCTGGAGCTCGTAACCGGCCCGAGCGGCTCTGTATCCTCTTGTCCAAAACAGACAGATCCCATACACCAGTGCTCTAAACAAGCATTAATCTATCCCAGTGTTCTTAAATTCCCTTCATTCCCACCTCCTGACCTTTCAATCCCTCTGCTTGGCTGTGAGTCAGCAGTGAAAACACTCCAGTTTTCAAAGAATGAGGGGATCGATAGGAGTTTTCTTTCCCCATAAATGACTTCTGAGGGGGGTTCCCCCCATTTTCCTGAGTGCCCTTCAGGTGGCCCCGTGTGTGACGGAGCCCAGGACCCATCTGGGGCCGTGGGGCAACAGGGTGCAGGGCTCTGTCCTGGCATGGGGTGGTGTGTAGAGTATGGGGATAATGGGACGTATGGGTGCCATAGGGGTGAAATAACAGGCAACCACTTAAAATGCACTGGGGAATTCCCTGTCCCAACCCCTGCGTTTTCCTGATATTTGACATTTTTGCAGAATCCTGGGAAATTCTGTGGCCTGCAGGAGCCACCTGGAGCTGGGGGCGTTAGGGGGTGGCTCTGGTGGCTTGTGGGCTCCCTGTGGAGCTCTGCAAGCTGCTCCTATTCGGGCTGTGTATTCAAGGATGTTTTATTAAAATGAGAGTGTGGACGTTCTGCCTTGCAAATTAAAGAAAAAGGAATTGGAATTGCAGGATTTCAGAGTATTTCAGTTCCCAGAGATAGCACTGGGTAAGGGGAGACTTCATGTCTATTCTCTTGTGCAACCGTAAAAAAATCCCCTCTCAAAACCAAACAGAATACTCGCAGAAATGGCGCAAACGGGCGTTTTTCTGCTATCTTAACGTTTCCAAGCGTTTGTGAGGCACCTGYGGCCTGCACCATGCGGAGCGCGCCGGGATTCCCCTCACGGAGGCGGACTCGCGGCTCCTCTCCCGCGGATGCTTCCTGCCCTCTGCTGGAATCCCATCCGCAGGGGAGGCCGCAGCTTTGGGAGCGGTGCCGAGGGGCGCCGGGCTTGCGGCTCCGGAGGGGATCGAGGCGCTGAGCACGCGGTTTGTGCCTCTGTGGAGGTTCAGCCTCGTCTCCAGCTCAGCAAGGGACGGCTCAAGCCGTCAGGCTGAGCTTTAGTGTGGGCCAAACTTCCTGCCCGCCCTGAGGAGAGAGGCCAGAGGTTCTTCATCCATCACGGTAACCTCTGTCCCCYTGATCGTCAACATTATAGGGACGTGCGCCAGATGGAGCAGCTCGGCATTTCTGACCGCTCCTTGGGCGCAGAGAATGGGGAAAGTCACCGTGTTTGGGCCTCGCTGTGTGCTTCTGCCCACCACACACTTGTCCTGTCTTGTGTCTGAGGTGTTCTGTGTCACTGATGTGTTTTTTCCCCTCTCTCCCCCCTTGTCTCGCAGACGTTGAAGCGGCTCATGGCAGATGAAGTAAGGATGGTGGCCTTTTTCGGTTTGGTTCCCTGCATGCGTTTGCTTCTGCTCGTTGTTTTCTTAGTGGCCTTAGCCCTAGCATGAACCCAACGTTTGGCTCTGTGGAAAGGTTTGGATTTGGCCAGGATTTGGCCTTTTCCAAAGAAGGTGCTGAACTTACATCCTCTCTAACCTAAAATTTCCAACGCTTTCCTTACTAACCTGCAGTAGGTTGGGGAGTCTTGACGTGCCGAGTTCAGCTTTCTCCAGCGCTGCTAACCCATGGCAGGAGCGCAGGCGGGATGCCTGGTGTAGCTGGGGCTCATGAACACGTAGGTCACGAGCAATTGCTCATTTATGTGTTTTTTGCTTTGTTTCTCACCCCAGTTGGAGCGATTCACCAGTATCAGGAAGAAGGAAAAGGAAAAGCCCAATGCAGCTAATAGGAATTCCTCCACCTATCTGGACATCCCTGCTTCCGAACGGACACTTCAGGAAATACCGGATGAGGACGTGCTGGCACTTTTTGAGCAGATGCTGGTAAGCTAATGTTATGTTTTCTGTCTCCCATTGCACAATCTGGAATCAAATGAATACCAGAGGAACTTGGAGATAGTTTTATTTAAGCAGAAAAGGCACAAGATGATGTGGCTCTGCCTCCTGGGCCTTGTGAGGGCTTGGTTTTGTGTGAGCATCGTGTAGCAGTAGCCTGGTTCTTAATGGTTTTTATAAGGGAAGCAAGAACAACTTGGCAGACCTCAATTTAACGAGTGCTGAAGTTAACCACCCCACATACAGTGCCTTCAGTCACAGATTAAGAGTTTCCTACTCATCTAGAGCTCTCTAGGACTTTGGGTTGTCCTCTGCCTTCCTGTAAGGTCAGCAGTCCTGCTGAAAGCAGTAACATTTGCCTTCCTCAGAGCCCTCATACCTGCATGGGGAAGCAGATGAAAGTCACTCTTGTCCTTCTCCCACACTCTTTCTTTTCTGGGGAAAGTCAGAAGGTAAGGGCAGGCTTTCCTTGCTCCTGACGTGCGTGTTCATTTTGTCCTGGCAAAAGTGGAAGAATTCTGYCATGCTTTGGTCCTAGACTGTGCTCTAGAAGGTAAATGTAAGTTGTTGTAAAATTGTTGGCTGAATGCTGCTCCAAGAGCAAGGGCATTTGAAAATTTGTATTTTTTTTTCTTCAATAGCTCGATATGAACCTAAATGAGGAGAAACAACAGCCTCTGAGGGAGAAAGACATCCTCATCAAGAGGGAGATGGTGTCCCAGTACCTGCACACATCTCAAGCTGTGAGTATTTCCCTCCCTTAATGCTGTTTTGGGGTTATCAGGGGGAGCTGCTATAGGCTCATCAGTGGCTCCAAGACAAAACTTCAACCTGGCTTTTAAATACAATTTTCAAAATTTTCTTAACGTAGAACAAGACATAAAGCACAGTCCCTCTCAATAACTCAAAAGAAATGTATCTAGACACCATAAAACCTTAGTGTCTCTAGTATATAGCTCCACARTTACTTATTTAGTTGTCCTTGGAGGAAGTTTTCAGTGAAGTGATTGGTCATGCCGTAATTAAGCCACTATTAAATTGTAATAAAGACTCATCTGTCCTGTGTTTTTTGTCATTTGGCCAACTTCCATAGCTGKATTTCCTGGAACAGAGGGAACCAAATATTCTGTAGTTAGCAATGACATTTTTTTCTTTTAATGAAACTTTTAAGGAGCTTCTGCAAATACTTCTTGGTAGTAGTTCCTAATAATAAGGCCTTGATGCATTATGAATATGTTCTTATGATATGATATATTCAAAAGTTTTCTTTGCAAAAGAAAAAATCAGTGGAGAACTGGTATACCCTGTCTCAAGAGGGGTCAAATTCTGAAAAATAACAGTTTTATGTGGTGACCCTATTGCTAAACGCTGAAGAGGTTGGAGAGCGCAGCTTTACTCAAGGCTACTTGAAAAGCTGAAACATGACATTTTGTTCTGCTGTTTTTTACCCTCCCACAACCACTCACCTCACCAAAGGTAGGAGGAAGCAAACCCACTTAACTTAGACTCTTCTAGTTTWATTTCTTGACATTCGAATTTATTTTAAAAAAAACTATATTTTTCAGTTAAAAAAAAGTAAATATAAGAGAGAACACCAGGACATTGACAGACGCACCTCTTCATGTCTTATGTTGAGGTGACCGTCTACAGTTTGCATGTAAACATCTCATGCTGTAAGCCCAAATTGAGCCCTGACTGCTTCCAGATCCTTAACAAAACTTCACCTAGGAATTACTTTAGATGGAGAGGGGAGACAAAGATATCTTCAAGCAAGATTTCTGGTGAAATTTCCAAATAACTCCTGAGGTTTGGGACTTGAGCTCCGTAGGCGTGTTCTCTCTGAAATTCACTTGATGCTTTTCCTTCTTCTTTTTTTTTTTTTTTTTCA